GAAGCATGAAGAGGTAAACAGGAAAGACAAATCATAAGGGACTTATTAAGGTTTACATTCCTGTATGGAAAGATGATATTTGTAACTCATGAGACCTTTGTCAGTATTAGGGCAGTTGGAGGAGGAAAGTTATATGGATGGATAGATAGATACATACATAGATAGATAGAGAGATGGATGGATGGATGGATGGAATGCACAGGGTGAGTTGAAGATGAAGGGTTGATATCTGGAGAATAAAATTAAGGGGTGAGAGAGGATTATACTGGGAGAAGGAGAAAGGGAGAGGTAGAATGGGGGCAAATTATCTCACATAAAACAGACAAGAAAAGGCTTTTACAATGGAGGGGAAGTGGGGGAAGGTGAGAAGGAATGAGTGAATCTTCTTCTCATTGGATTTGGCATAAGGAGGGAATACCACACACACTCAACTGAATATGGAAATCTATCTTACCCTATAAGAAAATAAGGAGGAGGGGATAAGACCGTAGGGGGGGATGATAAAGGGAAGGGCAGGTTGGGGGAGGGAGTAATCAGAAGCAAACACTTCTGAGGAGGGACAGGGTTAAAGGAGAGAATAGAATAAACAGGGGCCGGGTTAGAATGAAGGGAAATATAGTTAGTTTTCCCTAACATGACTACTATGGAAATGTTTTGCATGACTATACATGTCTTGTATCAAGTTGCTTGCCTTCTCAATGAGGGTGGGTGGGGAAGGAGGAAGGGAGAAAATTTGGAACTCAAAATTTTAAAAACAGATGTTAAAAATTGTTTTCACATGCAAATGGGAAATAAGATATACGGGCAATAGGGTATAGAAATCTATCCTGCCTTACAGGAAAATAGAAGGGGAAGGGGATAAGAGAAGGGAGGGGTGAGATAGAAGGGAGGGCAGATTAGGGGAAGGAGTATTCAGAATGCACACTGTCTTAGGGTGGGAGGAGGGAGAAAATTTGGAACTCAAAATCTTGTGGAAGTGTGTTGAAAACTAAAAATAAATAAATATTTAAAAATAAAAAATTGAAACAAATTTAAAAAGAAAGTGATAGAGAAAATGTTAATAATGAAGATTAAACTTTAAAAAAAAGAATGACTGGGTCAAAGAACAAATTATAGAAATGATTGACAATTTCATCAAATGGAATGACAATGAGACAACATACCAAAATTTGTGGGATGCAGCCAAAGCAGAACTTAAGGGAAATTTTCTATCTCTGAATGCTTACATGAATAAAATAGAGAAAGAACAGATCAATGAATTGGGCAAGAAACTAAGAAAAAAAAAACTAGAACAAACTAGAACTAAAAGAACAAATTAAAAATCCCCAATTAAACACCAAATGGAAATCCTGAAAAATCAAGGGAAAGATTAATAAAATTAAGGCCAATCACCATGATTGGTGATTGATTTCTTCTTCTCCCTCTTCCTCATCTCCTATCGCTCATATGCCTTCTTCTACTATTTCTTCCTTTACCCTGTCTCACATGATAAGATTTACTCCTTAACTGGGAGGCTAGTCTCTCTACCTGCTCAAGTAATCCCATTCCATTCTGTCTCCTCAAATGTTTGCCCCCTCAGTCATCCTTATTCTAACAGTTATTTTCAATTTCTCAAGTAAGCTTCCCTATCTATGTCTCCCCCACCCTCAAAAAAAAAATCCTCATTTGATCCTTTCTTCCTGGCTAACTTTTGTATTATATCCCTTCTGCTTTTTCTGGCTAAACTTGAAACGGCCATCTACAATAAGGGTTTTCCACTTTCTCTCCTTTCACTCTTCTTTTTTTAAAATTTTCAATATAACTTTATTTGCATAATCTGAAACATGTATAGAGTGCAGTTATTAACTGTAAACTAGCACAAGACTGCTTGTCAGGAATCTGAAAGTATCAGCTTGATTCCATATCACAATTCAAGATGTTTTTTTCTTTAGGGAGTGCCATTATCTATGAAGGGATATTCAGTGGGGGAAAGTGATCCTACACTCCAACCAGAAGGAATACTACTTTCTAAGAAATAAAACAATTCTTCTATACTTCCCTGGGCTTGGGTCAGCTTAAACTGGCTCTGGGTCAGATGCTTCTTGTCTAGATCTTCAAAACCACCACTTAGGGAAAAGGTGGTATGAAGCTTCTGCATGGAAGCTTGTCTTGGAGCTTGTCTTGTAGGCTGCTTAGGAGACCTTGGACAACAAGCATTAGGTCCATGAAGGCGAACTAATTTCAGGGCAATGCTACGGGACATGTCCAGAGTCCAGATTTCCAGGAGCTGTGTATCACCATCCACCTTTTCGGACTGGTTCCTACTCCGTTTGATCCACATCTCAAATAGGGCCTTATGGTAATTCTGCTGATCCTCAGAACCTTGCTTCATTTGATAAGTCAATTCAGTTGCTTCTTAGCACCTCTGATATTTTCCAGTGCATGCTTATATGCCTGGGGCTGGAGGTTGCTTGGCAGAGAACCTAGTAATGTGAAATAGCCTTCTTCTCTTGAAGATTTGTTTCTAAAATAATCTCTGTCTTCCCCTGAAGATTGTTGGATTTTAGCCATGTCCTGTGAGATTGGGAGGCATTTGTTCATAGTCACTTTTTAATTCTTCTGGTGTTCATTTCTCCTCTTGGATTTCAGACAAGATTTTCTCTTCATCAGACTCAGATCTTATGGAAACAGCACTGATGCTTGTGGCATCTTCCTTGTTCGAGTCACCACTACTGGCATTCATTAATGAACCAGTTTCTTTTGATGGTTGAGCTTTGTCAAGTACGATCTCTTTAGATAAAGATGGTTTCTTCTGTGGTACCTGTGATCTGCTCATTCTCTTTTGGCTGATAGGTTCACTTGAAGTTGTTTAGGTGATTTACAGCAATAATTCCATATTCAGGATTTCAACTCAATGCTATTCTTTTTTTTCTTGTTTTGTTTCAGCTAAAGACAAGGTTTATTAAAGATCTGGCATATTGGCCAGACTCTTAAGAAATCTGACCATTTGTGAGCTATTGGCTAGATTATAAAAATCCCTTATTAAAAAAAAAAAACCTTGGCTAGACTCTTAAAGAATCTGAGCCCTCTCACTCTCTTCTTAACCCCTTACAATCTGGCTTCTCGTATCATTTTGCCAAAATTCTTCTCTCCAAAGTTACCAATGATCTCTTAATTGCCGAATCCAATGGCCTTTTTCAATCTTTATTCTTGACTTTTCTGCAGCCTTTGACACCACTGATCACCCTCTTCTCCTTAATACTCTCTTCTCTCTAGGTTTTTGGGACATCATTCTCTCTTTGTTCCCCTTCTACCTATCTGGCCACTCCTCAATGTCTTTGGTGTATCCTCATCTACATAATGTGCTCTAACTGTAGGTGTCCCTCAGGGTTCTGTCTTGAGTCCTTTCCTCTTCTCCATCTATACTACTTTATAGTAGTACAGCTGCCATGGATTTAATTTTCATCTCTATGCTGATAATTCTCAGATCTACCTACCCTGCCCTAAACTCTCTGTTGACCTCCAAACTCTCATCTCAAACTGCCTTTCAGACATCTCAGAGTGGATGTGCTATAGACATCTTACTTCCTATTCCTACTTCCATCTTCCTCTTCAGATCTTTCCATCTTTATTGGGACTGGAAAGGAAAAGAGAGGGGATCCATGTAATGGCAGTGGATGTTAGTAGTGGCTGCAGTATCTACTAGGACTCTGACCCTCCACTTTTTGATTTCAAGTCCTTTCCTACTCTACTCTTAGGAATCCTGTTGTAATTGTGACTAAACTCCCTGTCTCTAGATTTTCATGAAATGGTACAGAGGAGGAAAGCAGAGTCGAAAGAACAAAGGCAAATTTTTTTCTGTATTCTTTGGTGGATGTGTTAACTAAGGGAGTATACTTCTTCAAATGATACAAATTGCAACCTATTTGTGCAATACCTTGTGTGATTCTTATTCTTGTCCTACCATAAATCACCAATGTTCTAGGGGCCTTTCTTTAGTTCTCTCAACATTGAGTGGATTGCAATGGGATATGCAGGCATGTTATCCGTTGCTTTTGTAATCGAACTGGCCAATCTTTTTTTCTGCTCATACATTTCTCTGATTGCAATCAATTAATCAACAATCAATCAGTGAACATTTATTAAGTGCCTACTACGTATCAGGAACTGTGATAAGTGCTGGGGAGACAAAAAAAATAGAGGCAAAGACCATCCCTGCCCTTAAGGAGCTTAGAATCTAATGGACAGACTGACTTTTGCCTTCCTTTTTTTCCATAATGTTTAGCTCTCTTTTCCTCTCCCTGTCCCTTGATCCTAGGAGGAACAGAGACTTCATTAATACTAGGCAAGTTTTTGATTGAGAGTAGCAAGCACTATTCCTTTATTTTTTCCCTCCCCCTCTGGGCCAATTACAACTTCTTTGCTTATCTGGCTTCCCTCATTCTTGGAGAAATAGCTTCAGCACAATTGAGGTTTGTTTTTTTTTTTTGTTTTTTTTTAGGCAATTGGGTTTAGGTGACTTGCCCAGGGTCACATAGCTAGTAACTGTCAAGTGTTCGGTCTTAGGCCAGATTTGAACTCAGGTCCTCCTGATTTCAGGGCCAGTGCTCTATCCACTATGCCACCTAGCTGCTCCCACTATTGAGCAATTAAGGAGTTTCTGTAACTACAGCAGGAGATGAATCATTCTTGAAAGTTGGTGGGGGTTTTTCCTATGGTTTTTGTTTTCTCTTGGCAGTATATATTGCTGTCTTCTCTGATGGTCAGAATTGTCTAAAATGTATTCTTTAACTAATTTTAGTAGTGTAATTACTAGGTAACTGATATTGCTAAACTTATATTTGAATAATATGCTTACAATATAACTTTGCATATTTAAAATTAAATTAAGTGAATTTCTAGAAATTAATAAAACATAGTTCCCTGCATTGTATATGAACAACTAAATCAAATTTCTTTTTTTTATCTTTTTAGAAAAGTCTTAAGAGATCATCATGTATATTTAGTTTTACTCTTCAAAGTGATTCAATATCAAAAATGGTACCTGATGATCTACAAAGTAACCTGAATGAAGTAATGATTCAGAGAGAATACGTTTTAAAGATGAAGGCTCAGGAAAATACAGAAGGCATTGATACTAATGAAAATTTGAATGTGACTGCACCATCTAATTTACAAGAAGCGTCAATCCAGCATGGTGAAGAAAAGAAAACTCACCCTGTAGAAGTTCGAAAAAGAAGAGCTAATTACATTATTTTTCCCAAGAGAAGAAGGAGGAAATTTAGGAAAAAGCTGAATGCTGAAAAAATAAATTCAGTGCTTAAAGAATTATCAAAGCCTCCGAAGACTCTTGAAAGGTTGTTTTATTTTAAATGATCATTACTTTTTAAAAGAATGCACTTTAACTTGTGTCTTTAAATCTTAGAATTTCACATTTTAAGAAGCTATATTATATATACACACATGTAATCATAAAATATAATGTTCATATTGATAAAGCGTATTATGTTTAACTTTTTATTAAAGGGAAATCTTTTATCAAATAAGGTAATATAAGAAACACTTTGCAAATTTAAGAGTCACATAAATGTTAGCTTAATTAAAATAATTTTATTTTTCCATTATTTTGAAACTAACAATACAGTTAGTTAACAGTATAGTTTAAATATATGCCCCTTGAGCTTACAGAAGAAGATACAAGAAAGCTGTCTACCTGTTTCAAAAGCACCTGGTTATATTAGAAGGAGAACAGGTGGGTGGTGGAAGAAGACAAAAGAGACATTTTGTGTCCTTTAGACTACAGGAAAAAAATTAAACCCAGCCAAATATAGGTCAATTGATTGAATTTAATTGAGTATTTTGCTTCTTTTTTTTATTAACAAATTGTTCTGTGGTAAGTTTTTTTTTTACTTTATTTTTGTTACTAGTACACAAAACTTCTATGTTTATAAACATGAATTTGCTTATTATAGTAAGGAGCTGAAATTCCAGGAATATGTGAATATTAAGCATATAAAAGAGAAAAGATTTTTAAAATAACTCCCTCTCTGTCTCCAAATGTTTCTCATATGGGTCAAAGTTCAACACACACCACTTAAAAGTAAATAAAGAACATGATTGATTGGAAGACAAAGAGAAAGTAGTAAGTACAAAACGATATGAAAACATGTATAAATTACAAATGGTTTAAAGACCAGGGAAACTGATTAGTGGCTGACTACCATAATAAGGGTAAACTACAAAAAAATTAGGTCATTTTTGTGTGAGTGTTCACTATTACTCATATTATCAATTCCACTTTTTAAAAGATTTTTCCTTTTCTTATGACCCTGGCAAACATCAGTAAATATGAACATTTCTCTATACAAAAGAGCAGAAAAGACTACATGTGAAACTGTACATCTCTATAACATATTGCTTATTGTTAAATATATATATATACACATATAAATATATATATATGCATATATATATATTTCAAATTTAACATGCTAGTTTCAAAAAAATGATTCACTACTAATCTTTTCTTCTTTTATTAATATCATTTCCACTAGCCTCTAATGCCCTTCTAAATCATCCCAAACAAATATATACATTCTTTGTAACAAATATAGTCATACAAACAAATCCACACACTGGCCTTGTCTGAAAATATATATTTTGTTCTGCACCTCTAGTTCATTACCTCCTTTCCAAGAGTTCATTACCTCCTTTCCAACATGTTTGATGATCAGTCTTCCAGAGATGTGATTACATGGTTCATAGTTCTTAAGTCTTTCATAGTTGTATTCCTTTACAACATTGTGATTATTGTATAAATTGTTTTTCTAGTTCTATTTGCTTCACTTTGCATCAGTTCATGCAAATCCTCTCAGGTTTCTCTGAATCTGTCTCTTTCATTATTTTTTAAGGCACAATGATCTACAGTTCTGGATTAGATGAAGAAAGAATTTTTTCCCCTTTATCATTGGTCTTTCTGGGGCTCTTTCTAGGTATTTTTTGGAGTTTAAACGGAAAAGATGAGTTTCTTTATGGTTGTTCCCGTCACCATATTAACTGGAAGTCCCTATGATACTTTGTGTCCATGTCTATCCAAGATACTTTTAACATCCACGCATAGTCCTCTTCTTCTATCCCAGGGCCATAGAACTATACATTTACCTCATACCAGCACCCCTAATTATCATGAACAAATGTTTGATGTATGTCCAATAACTTCTGGACTTCCTTCTATACATACCTATTCCATTATATGTTTTACTTGAGTTTTTGTCATAGGAATCATTGTCAGGAATCAGTTATCCTGGTTGGTACAACCTTTTCAACATCATCCCTCAACAAATCTAGAGGACACTGCCAACAGGGCCCTAGCAGAGAGGATAACGTTAGAGTTCCTGCAGTCACAGGAGAGCATACCAGAGATAGCAGTAGGTATGACATAGGAAGAACAATAGTGGTGAATATGCCTAGTAATTTGCTACTAAGGGGAAAATATACACTTTTTATTTTCAAATGTCTATGCCCTAAAGTGTTTGAGACCCCCTGCAAGTTCTCTATGTTATTTTCCAAGTGAGGATTAGTTGAAGGAACTATGCTTAATACGGGAAAAAGAAGACTCAGGGGGAATATGATGGCTGTCTTCAGGTATATGTGAAGGAGAGGGATTAGATGTGTTCTGTTTGGCCCTAAGACGCAGAGTCGGTAGCAATGGGAAGAAGTTGCAAAGAGGCAAAGTTAGAACCACTGTTAGGAAAAATTTCATGATAAGTAGAGTTCTTCAAAAGTAGAATGAACTGCTTTGAGAAGTGGTGGGTTTCCTCCTTCTTGGAGGGCATCAAGCAGATGCTGGATGACCTCTTTGTGGGTATATTATAGTGAGATAGAATAACTAACACCATTTAAAAAAAAGATTAAAAGCAAAATGTAGAGGCATCTATGTCCTAGGTACAACACCAATCATTCCCAGTGTTTACTCTGACCATGGTTTTCCCTCAGACTTAAATAGAATGTTCTTTCAATCAATCACAAATTTTTTAATGTGGAGAGAAAACCTTCTCAAGGTTTTTTATGTAGCCAAAATGTGTGAGAAGTGATATGTGAACCCGGGTCATCTCAACTCCAAGGCAAGCTTGTCTATTATACTATGTTTTCTCTTATAGTTATTACAAATATTTCTGTTCTTTTATCTTGACCTCCTCAGGGTATGTGCCCATTGGTATTATTGTGAGGTTAAAGGGTATAGAAAGTAATGATTTTTCTAGTGTAATTCCAAAGTTTTTTCCATCATTATTGGACTAATTCATAGCTCCATTAGTGTGCTGATCTTTCCAAATCTGCTACATCATATACCATTTTTAGTTTCTATTATCTTTGCCAGTTTGATGAGTATGAGGTAAAACTTATATTTCCCTTGTTATCAATGATTTAAAACATCCTTTAATATAGTTTTTGATAGCTTGTGTTTCTTCTTTGGAAATTTATCAGCTTCCTTTGATGACATGTATTGGTAAATGGCTCTTGCTCTTATAGTTTCGCATGAATTCTCTATTTTGATATCAGATCTTTATCAGAGATATTTGCTATGAAGAATGCCCAGTTAGTGGCTTCTCTTTCTAATCTAGTTTCTTTGACTTCCTTAAACCAAAATGTTTACTTGTAATATAAATGATCAGTTTTATCTTTTATGATCACCTCTATTCATTATTTGATCCTTTTAAGAATTAATGAAAGGGACCTTAGTGTTCCTATCATTTATTTCTCATTAATTAGATTATTGCTATGTTTTCTGACTTTTATATTCTCTTTTATCTAATGATTTAGTAGAAAGCAGAAACTGTTACACAGTAGCATGATCTCACTTAAGATTGCCTCTCTTTTAATCAGAAGAAAGTAATTTTCTCCTGTCCAAGGAGAGAGCTGTAAGTGTTCACTGATTAATATAAAGTTGTCTCAATAAAAACAAAAGCACATACTTATTAACCACTTCACACTTGGTAAAATACTTCACATCTATTATGTTATTTGATTTTTAGTGACTTTGATTCACGATAGACTATTGTTGCAGTAAAAAGACCACATCTGAGACAAGTCGGTAGAAACTTAATTTTGTGACAGACACAAACATAGTTGAGAAAGCAGCCTCCTTCTAAATAGCATTAGCTTTATAGGTGGGCTATTTTACGTTTCAACCCAAAATAGAATTGCCTGTTTTATTAGCCTAGAAGCAATAGTAGAAGTGGGAAGAGATTAACGGAATTGATACAGAGACAAACATGCCTTCTTACTTTGTGTGGAATAGAGTTTCCACAATTCTCATTCAATGAAGGTAACATACAGAGTCCCTCTCTTTTTGCCTTAAAAAAAAAAAAACACATTCTGATACAAGTTGCCTTCCTTTAAAAGGACTATAGATCCTTTCCAGTTACAAATCTAAGCTTTCCAAAATATAACTTATGAAAATACATTTAAATAAACATAACATTTTACAGCTAGTATTTTACCACAAATACCCTGCAAATGTTTCAAATATAGTGTCTCTTTTCGGAGTTAAGAAAGAGTCTTAGTTTGCTTAGAAAGCAACCAAAAATTCTTCCCACTATTCCCAGGAAATGTTTTGTTGTATGGGGAAAGATAAAGGTTAGAGAAAAATAGTAAGATTTTATAATCTAAATGAGTCTTACTGGTAATCCAATTGGATTAAAATTGTTCTTGTCATTGCTCTGTTGATGGAATGTCAAATTCTCATTCTCATTCTTAAGTCTAATCTTACTGATTATATTGTTCCCAACTCTTCTGTAGGCATACATGTTTTTATAAGTCTATCTATGGCCTAAAGTCAGTGGTCTTCTCAAGTCTAGTTTTAACTTGCCACTACGCTAAGATAAAATGCCTTCTGGGAATATTAGAAGTCAGACTTGAAAGGAATACTGATTTCAGTACATCAATATTTAATATATTCAATTTGTTCATAGCATATCTATATTCATAGACTTTATCACATATATACATATAAAATTCCCTTTTACTTAATGCAAATGGTGGAGTGTTATGGGTTACATAAATTATATTCATATAATTTGGCTCTGATAAATAGTAACTAAGAAAAATTGGCATGTAGTTTAATTAGATTCATTGACCAACTGTAGCAAAATGAATTTTTTGAGTAAAATTATTATTATTTTTTTTAAATTTAGATCAGCATCTCTTGTCATTCTTTGGGAACAGAAGAAATTTTTTCTCCATGTGCCTATGTATGTCCGTCAAAGTCGCTGCCCTAGTCTACCTGCTGTGTTACATTTTGATGAATTTGCCCAGAAGCATGGTGGAATTCCAGAAGATACTGATCCTCAGCAATGGGTTTCGGACTTCTGGATTAAAGAGTTACAAGACATGCCTCCAACTCAAGAGCTAGAACATGTTGAGGAGAAAATAATTCAAACTTTTGTTGAACCAGTTAAACCTGAAAAAGTAAAACAACTACAAAAAATAGAATTAGATGATTTCTCTAATTCAGATCTCTCTGACGTTGTTAGGAAGCATTTGGAGACTGAAATACAGAGGCTGACTAAAGAAATAAAAGAGAAAAAGAAAATGGCTGCCTTCCTATATTGCCGACGTGGAGCTCTTTATAGAAAACTAGGCAAACTAAAGAAGGCCATGAATGATCTACAAGAGGTAAATTTCATCCAGGTGAAACACGTAAGATCATTTATGCTTGACTTTTATCGTGATGGCAGTTTGACACTTTGAGAAATATTTTAATGTTTAGAATGAGGACATATTGGTGTCCCATATTGGCCACAGGTTCTGTCTGCTGTCCAAGGACCAACCTACTTAAATACCAGTAGACTGGTTATGAATTCATTAATGAGTTCTTTGGCTATAGTAGCACAAGAAAATTTAAGATGTGACCCCTAGACCACTCCACATTTGCTATTAAACAGTGGTGGAGAGGTAAAAAAAAAAAAGTGAGATGTCCCAAAAAGCACAGATGTCCCAAATCACAAATTTTTAGAGCTCTACTCATCACTCTAACTACTGGTACTACAACTGTATGATCCTTGTCCAACAACTGAGTTGACATACTACTGAAATGAATAAAGGAAATATAATTTTTCATCTCTTCAGATGAAGACCAATTTAAAGCACTATCCTTGAGAGCCAGATTTTTGGTCAAAGATCTCAGGTTCAAACCCAAGCTCTGCTAATTGCTAGCATTCTGAATTTGAGCCTAAATTTCTTAAAAAAAAAAAAAAAACACCTCATTCTTTCCTGGGTGGTGTTCGTAGCAGCATAGTTTCCAGAACATGGGAAGTGATCATTTTGTTATAGTCTGGGAATACCACATCTGGAATATTGTGTTCCATTCTGGGCATCATTTTTAGCCCTGAGGATATGGGGAAGTGAGTTCCCCTTCACTGGAGCATTGAAGTGGAAGCTGGATGATCACTTGTTGGTGTTGTAGAGGAAATTCTTGCCCAGATTTGATGGCCTCTGATATTCCTTCCCACTGGACATAGTTGATTTTCCATCTAGCTCTGGATCTTATAATTTTATTCTCAAAGTTTATTGATATTAGAACTTATTCTTTGAGTAAGAAGTTGTTATTTCACAATAAAGTGCTTTGCAAGTTTCATTTTTTATATATGAACACTTACCAAGTAAAACTGAATTTAATATACTTTTTTTCCTCCTAGGCTATATTCTTAGAACCTCTATTACTTAATGCTTATTGGCACCGACATTTCATATACATTTTCCAAGACAAAAGTGGTGATGCTTTAAATGACTTAAATTATATAACTAAATATAATAAAAATAATGCAGGTAGGTTTTCTATAGAGATAGTAAATATGTATTTTTTTTACCTAGAATTTTGTCTTTTCCTTTCTCTTACAGTCACTATAAAAACCATGTTTTAGGAAGCAGCTAAGTGACACACTAGCTAGAAGGCTGCGTCTGGAATCAGAAAGGCATGAGTTCAAATTCTGCCCCACACACTAGCTGTTTAATATTGGGCAAGTTTTAACCTGTGTTTGCCTCAGTTTCCTCGACTGTCAAATGAGGATAATAATAGCAGTTACCTTTTAGTGTTGTTGTGAGGATCAAATGAGATAATATTTTTAAAGTGCTTAATACAATGCCTGTCACATAGTAGGTGCTACATAAATACTATTATTATTATCATTACTGCAATTGCAAAATGTAAATGTTAAGGTAAATGGCTATGAAGTATACATTTTTCTATCTAGCTACATTTTCACGTTCAGGGTTGTTGTTCACAATTACAGACCTTAAAATCTGAAATAGTTTTTTTTTCCTTTTAAAATTTTTATTTAGGGGGATGCAGCGAGGCAATTGGGGTTAAGCAACTTGCCCAGAGTCACACAGCTAGTAAGAGTTATGTGTCTGAAACCGGATTTGAACTCAGGTCCTCCTGACTTTAGGGCCGGTGCTCTATCCACTGCATCTTTGTTTCACCCTTGATCTTATTGGAGAGGCTTCTAGCTTATTCCCATTACAGATAATGCTTGCTGGTGGTTTTAGGTAGATTCTTCTTATATTTTAAGTAAAAATCCATTTATATCTATGCTTTCAAATGTTTTTTAATAGGAATGAGTGTTGTATTTTGCTAAAAGCTTTTTCTGCATCTATTGATATGATTATATGATTTTGGTTATTGATATAATCAATTATATTAAGTTTTTCTTATATTGAACCAGCTCTGCATTCCTACTGTAAATCCCACTTTGTTACATCATATAATCTTTGCAATATATTGCTGTAGTCTCTTAGCTAGTATTTTAATTAGGATTTTGCATCAATATTCATTAATAAAATTGGTCTATAATTTATTTAATCTGTGTTTGCTCCTCCTGGTTTAGGTATCAGCACCATATTTGTTTCATAAAAGGAGTTTGGTAGGACTCCTTCTTTGCCTATTATTCCAAATAATTTATTTAATATTGGAATTAATTGATCTATAAATGTTTGATAAAATTCATTGTAATCCATGTAATCCATGTAATCATCTGGTCCTGATACTTTTTTCTTAGGAAGCTCATTTATGGCTCATTCAATTTCTTTTTCTAAAGTAGGTTTATTTAGATATTCTATTTCCTCTTCCATTAATCTGAGCAATTTATGTTTTTGTAAGTATCCTTCCATTTCACTTAAATTATTAAATTTATTGACATAATTTGGCAAACTCCTAATAATTGCTTTAATTTAATCTTCATTACTTATCTTTTCATCCTTTTCATTTTTAATACTATTGATTTGGTTTTCTTCTTTTTTAAATAATCATATTAACAATAGTTCATCTATTTTATTGTTGGTTTTTTTTTTTTGTAAAACCAACTCCTGGTTTTATTAGCTCCATGGTTTTCTTACATTCAGTTTTATTAATTTGACCTTTAATTTTCAGGATTTTCAATTTGGTGTTCAATTGGGGATTTTAAATTTGTTATTTTTCTAGTTTTCTTCTAATTGCATACCCTATTCACTGACCTGCTCTTTCTCTATTGTTACAAGCATTTAGAAATATACATTTCTCTTTATTGCTGCTTTTGTTGCATCCCATAAGTTTTTATCATTATTATCATTCTCTTTAATACAGTTATTTATTGTTTCTATGATTTGTTCTTTGACCCCTCATTCTTTAAGATTAGGTTATTTAGTATTCAATTAATTTTTAGTCTGTGTTTCCATAGACTTCTATTAAATGTAATTTTATTGCATTATAATCTGAAAAGGATGCATTTGATATTTCTGCCTTTCTGTATTTGACTATAACGTTGGGTTTTTTTTGTGGGTTTTTTTTTTAGGCAATTGGGGTTAAGTGACTTGCCCAGGGTCACACAGCTAGTAAGTGTCAAGTGTTTGGTCTGAGGCTGGATTTGAACTCAGGTCCTCCTGATTTCAGGGCCAGTGCTCTATCCATTGCTCCACCTAGCTGCCCCAACTATAAGGTTTTTAATGGCCTGATATATGCTCAGTTTTTGTAAAGGTGCTGTGCACCATGAGAAAAAGGTATATTCCTTTCTATTCCCATTCAATTCTATCCATATATTTTATCATATCTAGCTTACCTAAGCTTCTGTTCACCTCTTTGACTTCTTTCTTCTTTATTTTTCAGTTAGATTTATCTAGTTCTGAGAGGGGAAGATTGAAATCCCCCACTATTATAGTTTTGCTATCTATTTCCACCTGTAATTCATTTACTTTTTCCTTTATAAATTTGAATGCTATAGCATTTGGTGTATATATATATATATATATATATATACATATATATACTTAGTATTAACATTACTTCATTATCTATCTTTTAATGTAGTTTCCATGTTTTTCTGTTTTGATTAAATCTACTGTAGCTTTAACTTTGTGATCATGATTACTGTCCCTGCTTTTTTATGTCAGCTGAAGCAAAATAAATTTTACTCCAGCCCTTTTAGTTTTAGTCTATGTGTGTCTTTCATTTTTAGTTGTCTTTCTTGTAAACAGCATATTGTGGGGTTCTGGGTTGATCCACTCTGCTATCCATTTTCTTTTAATGGGTGAGTTCATTCCATTCACATTTTAAGTTATAATTTCTAGTTGTGTATTTCCCTCCATCCTATTTTCCCCTGCTATTTATTCTTATCTCTCTCTTTCTACCCTATACCTCCTCAGAAGTCATTTACTTTTGATCACTGCCTTCCTAATCTACACACCCTTCTAGGAGCCCTTCCCTTATCCTAGCCCCTTGCCCTCCTTTTTCTCTGTAAGTTGACTTTTATACCCAACTAAATGTATGTCATTCCCTCTTTAACTCAGTTCTGATGAGAATAAAGTTCCTGTGCTGCCCATCCTCCACCCTATCCTCCCCTCCACTGTAGGTTCTTCCATTCACACCTCCTTTGTATGAGATAATTTGCTCCATTTTACCTCTCCCTGCCCAATTTTGTTTTTTATGATCATCCTATCATAATCAACTCAACTTCAAGCCCTCTATCTATGTATAATCTTTCTAACTACCCTAGTAATGATAACATTCTTAAGAGTTACAAATATCATTTGCCCATATAAGAAGTAGACAGTTTAACCTTATTAAATCCCTTATGATTAGTCTTTCATGCTTACCTTTTCATAGTTATACTTGGATGTAAACACAGCTCCATTGCTCTTCACAATATCATATTCCACACCCTTTGGTCTTTTAATGTAGAAGCTGCTAAGTCTTGTGTTATCCTGACTGCAGCTCCATAACATTTGAATTGTTTCTTTCTAGTTGCTTGTAATATTTTCTCCTTAACTTGGGAGCTTTGAAACTTAGTTATAATGTTTCTGTGAGCTTTCATTTTGAGATAGCTTTCAGGCAGTGATTGGTGGATTTTTAAATTTTCTATTTTACCCTCTAGTTCTAAAACTTCAGGTCAATATTCCTTAATAACCTCATGAAGTATAGTGTCTAGACTCTTTTTTGTTATCAATTTTAGGTAGTCCAACAATTCTTATATTATCTTTCCCCAATCTGTTTTACTGATCAGTTGTTTTTCTAATGAGATATTTCATGTTCTCTTCTATTTTTTTATTCTTTGATTTTGTTTTATTATTTCTTAGCTCCTTCTTGTGCAATTCTCATTTTTAAAGAGTTATTATCTTCAGTAAGTTTTTTTAATCTCTTTTTTTGAATTAGTTGATTTTTTTTCATAATTTTCTTGGCTTTCTTGCATTGCTCTTCTTTTACCAATTTTTAACCTATATCTCTTATTTTGATTGTTAAAGTCCTTTTTAAGTTCTTCCAAGAAATCTTTTGGGGCTTGTGACCATTTCACTTTTTTTTTTTTTTGGATGCTTTACAAGTAACTATTTTTGACTTCTGACTTTGAATCCTGATCTTCTCTATCATCACCATAGTAATTATCTATGGTCAAGTTCTTTTTGTTGTTTACTCATTTTTTAATTAAATTACCTATTTCTTGGCTCTTAAGTTTATGTTGGGGTCAGCACCATGAGAAAAAGGTATATTCCTTTCTATTCCCATTCAATTCTCTCCATATATTTTATCATATCTAGCTTACCTAAGATTCTGTTCACCTCTGCTCCTTGGGTGTGGGGGGTAATCTCTCAGGCTTCAGGTTTTTTGTGCTGTTGTTTTCAGAGCTATATAGGGGGTTGTCTTTGACTTCTTTGGTTCTTCCAATGTGCTAAGGCTAGGTGAGATCATTGCTCCTTTGGTTCACATTTTGGTATTTGATTGACATCAGGTACTCCTCTCCACCCCTAAGCTGCTATGAGGGCCCCAGCACTACTGCCACTGCAAACACTCTCACTCCCTGCAATCCAGAATATACCATAGGCCTCCCCAGCTGCAAGCATCAGTTTGCCCCTCTGCCATGAATCCAAAACCAGGGGCTCTGCTCTTCTGTGAGTGACCACAACCAGGGCCCCCACTCCTCTGCAATTACACTCACCCCACAGCCACAGCCTGGGATTATGTGTAGCCAGAAGCAGGACCCCACATCCAATGTTAGCAGAGGGCCCTACAATCTCACCCTAATCAGATGCCTGAACCCAACACCATCAGCAGATCAAAAGTTCCTGAAACCCAGGCTGCTGCCCCAGCACTGCTACCCCCAGGGCTTACTGTTTGCTAACACTGCAGTATCTGCCCTTTACTCTGGCCAGACCACCACTCTGATAGGTCAGATTTTTCTTAACATCCTCCCAGGTTGTCTTAGGCTGAACAAGTGCCCCAACTTTCAATTATTTCTGCCACTCTAACATTCACTTTGGGCATTATTTTAAAGTTTTTTTGGGGTGGGGATTTGGGACAGTCAGGTAATTTCCTGCATTATTCTGCCATCTTCCCACAATTCCCAGGAGGAGTTCTTTGTTTTTAGTGAATTTTTGTACCTCCTTTTCCCATTTGGTTTATTCTGTTTTGTTTTGTTTCATTTTGTTTTTTGCTTTTTTGGTGAGGCAATCAGAGTTCAGTGACTTGCCCAGGGTCACACAGCTAGTAAGTGTCAAGTGCCTGAGGCTGGATTTGAACTCAGGTCCTCCTGACTCCAAGGCTGGAGCTCTATCCACTGTGCCACCTAGCTGCCCCTTATGTTACCTTTTTTTTGTGTGGAGGCAATGGGGGTTTATGTGACTTGGGCAGGGTCACATAATGTCAAGTGTCTGAGGCTGAATTTGAACCCAGGTCCTCCTGACTCAAGAGCAGCTGTTCTATCCTCTAAGCCACCTAACTTCCCCTTATTCTGCTTTTTAAAAAGTTTTTTCATCAGTGAATTTTTGTTCCTCTTTTATTATTAGGCCAATTCTATTTTTAAGGTCATATTTTCTTCAGTACTTTTTTGTACATCTTTTACCAAGCTATTAATTCTCTTTTCATAATTTTCTTGTATCACTCTTGTCTCTTTCCCAATTTTTTCTCTACCACTCTTATCTTTCTTTAATTTTTCTAGGAATTCTTGTTGGCCTTGGGTTCAATTAACATTTTACTTTGAAGCTTTGAGTGTAGCTGTTTTCATATTATTGTCTTCTTCAAAGTTTTTGTCTTGGTCTTTCCTGCTACCATGGTAGCCTTTTATGGTCAAGTTCTCTTTTGCTGTTCTTGTATGCTCATTTTTCCAGCCTACTTCTTGACTCTGAACTTTATGTTAAAGTTGGGCTTTGCTTACTTGAGAGTGAGGAGGCACTGTCCTAAGCTTTAGGCTTTTTTGTGCTACTGTTTTCAGAGCTAGTTCTAGGGATCTGCCTCCAAGATTGTTTTATTCTGGGAAAGGTGTGGTCACTGCTCTCCTGTTCTATGCTCTGGTCTTTACCAGAAAGGGCCTCTGCTCTCTTGCAACTGCAAGCATGAGTGCTCCTCTTAGCCCTGGAACTGTATCCCTTGTGACCAATCACAAGCATTCTTCTCTAACCTGGAACCGTGATCTAGAATTACTTATGGGCAATAAAATTGCCAATTAGTGCCAGCTGCGCCAGGTGCTGGCAAACCGCCCCCCGTAATCTCTTTCTGGCCAGTTGTCTAATCCCCTTACTGTCTCTGTACTAAGAGTTTCAAAAGCTGCTGCTGCTGCTGCTGTCACTGCTGCCTCCAAGGCCCACTACTGGTGCTCCTACCATACTCCAGGCCTGCATCCACCCCAGTGTTACAGATCTCTCCTGCAGACCTCCTAAGTTGGTTTTGGATCGAAAAATGTCTCCCTCTGGCCTTTTGTTGTCTCTGCTTCTCCAAAATTTGATTTGAGGCATTGTCCTAAAATTGTTTGGTGGGGAATGTTGGGAGGGTTCAGCTGGGTCCCAGCCTATACTCCACCCTCTTAGTTTCTGAAAATAGTTTTGGAAAGAAATACATCAGGTCATTTGGTGAAGGAGAGTGAGCTGGAAAGCGGGTGTGTTTCCCTCTCATCTAGGCGCTGAAAGGTTCACATTATATAGAATTTAGATGAAGTTTCTGCAGAGGAGTCACACATGAATCTTCTGATAAATGTATTGAACACAATCGCTTACTGAAGGGAACTCAGAACACAAGCTTGGGAAAACCCTAAACAAGTCCTGGGTGTGGTAACACAAAACAAGAATGCTCTGGGTGAATCCAGGGCCTGGGGGAACCCAAAATAATTTATTGTCATCTCCAGCATTTCTAGAGAGTTACTGGGGTCAGGAGACATTCTGGGTGCAGATACCCTTTAGTCACATAAGGTTGGATTTAAACAATATTTTCCAAACCAACCTAATTTTTCCTACAGGGCTCTGAAATATATCTGAGCTTCTGCTTACATATTAGATATATTTTAAATTATATTCTGTCCTTCATATAAAAATAATTATTCCATTCCTCTACCCAACTCTTGGTATATATGATTTCTTGATTTATTATTCTAATAATGATGGTGCATTTGCACTTATCCTTGGGCCATTCCCTCTTGTGCTTAAATGATAATCAGTTTGAGAAAGAACAGATTAGACATAGGTTTGAATATAGCCCTAAAACACCCCATGTTAGGAATAAACTCATGGCATTAGTCTTATTAACATCATAGCTAACCAACATTATATTTATATTTCATCATAAGGCTATATTTTATGACTTCAATATTGGTTTATACTTTGAAATATATAACAAACAATTGCATTTTTAAATTACATTAGTGAGTACAAGAGGACAAATTGGACATCTTTCACTGAATTAAAATATGTCTAAATTTAAGATCTTTTAAGGAAAAATAACTAAGGGTATTATTTTGAGGAAATTGTTTTTATTGGTGAATAAAATATTGAAACACTGAATTTTCCCTTATTTTATTGTCTTTAGATGTTTATTTATCAAAGGCTGAAATTTTCAGGAAAAGAGGTAATTTTACATTGGCACTGCTAAATTATTCTCAAGCAATTAAGTGTAGGCCTACAGATGATGACATCTATTTCAAGAGAGCTGAGATACTTTATGTAGGGAACAAATTACTGGCCATTGATGATTATTCTAAAGTAAGTAAGTTTTACCTCACATCATGTTATTATTTTTTTCTTTTTTGTCTTTATGTCATCATTCATCTTTATGTAGCATTGTCATGATAAGACCATGGGACACTTCCTGAAAGTCTACGTGTGAAACACATATTTTGTAGGTTGAAAGGTTCGGGGTTTGGGGTTTTTTGTCATTAGACCAATTAATGAATTGATAATTATTTTTTGTTGTTAGCTGCTTATCTTTCAGCATGTTGATGTTGAATTATTGTGTAGGGGGTTGTGCCTGAGTAACTGAGGGCAGTTTTGAAGAATATCAGCTCCTTTTCTCCTCTCCCCTGGAATTATGGGCCAATTGTAAAGGAAACTTATAAAAACCCTCATTCTTTTCCATATTGTCAGTAGCTTCACAGCCAGGAATCTAGCTGAGGTTCATTCACAGATGTATTGCATTGATAGAAAATCACCTTCCCCTCCCTGCTCCACCCACCCTCTCCAAGCCCTCATCCCTTCTGCCTTCTGCCACTATTATGAAAAGCAAAAAATCCCACACAGAAACTAGCAGTCTTTGACAAATAAGAGGGTGAGAGAGGGGAAGGTGGTCATCAATGTCTTTCCAACTCTGAATTCTAAGCCTCAGTGAAAGATGCTTGGTGCTTCCTTAGCACGTAAATGATGCTATTCACAAACATTTATGTATCTTTGGTTTACTTCAGTTTAACAGCACATCAATATACACCACGTCATTATATACCCCCAAACTGGTTAGTCCCTCATTTAGCATAATGCTTCCCTATATATGCCCTTTGATTTTCCTAACAAGGCATACTTTCTCCAGGTCTGTGAAACCCGAGTCATTGTAATGCATGGACATTTATAGGCAAAAATGGTACGCCAAATGGCTTCATCATTGTGTCTTTTTTACTGAGGGCCTAGCTTTTTTAAGTATTGTTTTTTACTTCTTATTTCGAAGTCTATATTTTGTGTACCACAGTTGTTGGAGGAGGTCTTTTTCTGATGAATTATCTTTGTCATCTGGTTTGGGTCTTGGGGCATTATAATTAGTAGAGAAGATGGCTCAGATCGGGGGTACCTTCACAAGCTTCTCATATATTACACCTCTTACTTACTTAATGGTGTTTCAGCTGGTCATCCATTAGAATGAGAGGCCTCTCACAAAGCTTAGGAATAAGTCGTCTATTTTGGACCAGACCCAAGATTTTATTGCTATGGGAAACTTTTGATGAGGAAACTGCCTCTACTAATGTAGCCTGGTCACTGTTGTGCAATTTAGAACCACAGCGAGTCACCTAAGAGCACTCAGAGGTTAACCAATTTGCCCATGGTCATACAGTCTGTACGTACTAAAGCTGGGACTTGAATCCCAGTCTTTGTGACTTAGAGGCCAGCTTTTTACCCGTGGTGCTACTATTTAAATTTACATGCATGCTTGAATGTGTGAGTGTGTGTGTGTGTGTGTGTGTGTGTGTGTGTATTTTATGTATTACAGAGCCACAGATAAATAACCATCAGGCTTCTAGTTGAAAACCTCCAGTGATGGGAAACTTACTACTTTTCTAGGTGATCAATAATATTTTTGAATAGCTTTGATTGTTAGGAAGTTTTAGTTATCAAACAAATCAAACCACTTTTTGCTTCTGGTTTTACCCTCTAGGCCTAAAAACAAGTCTTCTTTAAAAAGTCTTAAGTCCTCTTTCATATGATAGCTCTTAAATATTCCTTCTGAGTCTTCTACAGGCTAAACATCCTCAATTCCTTTAACTTATTCCTCAACTCTTTTAACTTATTTAACTTTAACTTATTAACTTATATGGGTAGGTAGTAGCCTTAGAGTCAGGAAGATCTGAGTTCAGGTTTGGCCTCAGATACTTACTAGCTGTATGACCCTGGGCAAATCATTTAACCTCCATTTGCCTCATTTTCTTCATCTATAAAATGGAGATAATAATAGTACCTACCTCCCAGGGTTGTTATGAAGATAAAATGAGATATTAATTCTAAAGTGCTTTAGTACAGTGCCTGGCATATAGTAAGTATTCTATAAATTCTATAAATGCTGGACAACTGGGTGACACAGTAGAGTGCCATGGCTGAAGTCAGGAAGACATATGCCTGAGCTCAAATCTGACCTCAGACTCTTACATGACCTTGGGCATGTCCCTTAAACCTATTTGCCTCAGTTCTTCATCAGTAAAATGTCCTGGAGAAGGAAATGACAAACCACTCCAGTATTTTTGCCAAGAAAATCCCAAATGGAGTCACAGTCAGACACAACTGAAACAACTGAACAACATATAAATGTTAGATGATGATGATGATGATGGTGATGATGATGGTGATGGTTTTATAGCAGGAACTCAAGATTCTTCATGATTCTTGTTTGTATTCCTCTTGACACTCTCTAGCTTATCGAAGTCCTTCCTAAACTGTGGTACTCAATAATAATGTGGTCTGACTAAGGCAGACCATAGCAGGACTATCACCTTCTTTTGCTGGAAGTGATGTACACTTTTAATGCAGTCTAAGAGCGCATTAGCTTTCATTAACTGTCATATCAGAATGTAGACTCATGAACTTTTGATATTTTTTCATACAAATGGCTAACCACACCTCTCCCATCTTGTCCTCGTAAGGTTGATTTTTTTGAACCCAAATGTAAAGCTTTACACTTATCCTTTTTAAGTTTCATTTTATTCCAGTAAGCCCAAAGCTCTACCTTCTCAAGATCTTTTGTAATCTTCAATGTATTAGCTCCCCCTTCATCCCCCATGTCTCCTCCAGTTTTGTGTCATCTAAAGATTTGATAAATATGGTATCTATACTTTATCCAAGTAACTGATACAAATGTTAAGCAGCATGGGACAAAGCAAATCCTTAGGACAGTTCTCTGGAGAATTTGTTATATTCACACTGAACCATTAACAGCTACTCTTTGAGTAAAAAAAAAAAACAACTATTTCAGAATCTACTCACTGGTACTCTACCCATCTACCCAGTGGTATAGCTCTTATCTCTCTTTTTAACCCCACATTATTCCATTAGATACTTTGCCAAATTCTTTGCCATAATCTAGGCAAACTATATTTCCAACATTCACCTGGTCTACCAATTTAAGAACCCAGAAGGTTATTCTTACTTGAGTTGTACTTGATGAAGCCATGTTTGATTCTTTGTAATCATTGCTTCCTGTCATAGTTGTTCACTAGCTATATTCTTAATAATTTCTTCTAGAATTCTTAGTAATAGAAGTTAGGTTCACTAATTAGTCATGCAGTACCTTTCCCAAACTTTATTCTTTTTCAAGTGTCACTGACAGTGACTCAATAATCATGTCCATCAGTTCTTCCATTAATATAGGATATAGTTCATCTGAATCAGGTGACTTTAATTCATGAAAGACTACTAGGTGCTCATTCAAAAGTTCCTTACTTACATTGGATATCAACTAATTAGCCACATCTATTCTTTCATTTCCAGTCCAAAAGTCAGTCTCCTTGACAGAGAAAGAATAGGTGGATGTAAGGACTGGATCTGTGAGTTCACTGGTATAGGAAACTCCTGGCTGACGAAGCTCCCTCTACCAATACAGACTAGCACTTTCGTAGTCTTAGAAAACTGCTCACACTGAAAGTTTAAATGGCTTGCCCACGGCCACATGGCCATTATGTGTCAGAGGTAGGACTTAAGCTTAGAGACCCTATCATTTCTACTCTAGCACCATTCCTCTGTAAGAATTGTGGAAATTCTCTCTGTTGTCAGCATCATTGTTCTTTACCCCCTACTCTTTTTTAATACTTCTCTTCGCCCCAATATAACTTGTTTTTTGTTTTGTTTTGTTTGTTGCGGTTGTTTTGTTCATTGTTATTACTTCTTTTTTTTTCTTTTTTTTTTAGGCAATTGGGGTTAAGTGACTTGCCCAGGGTCACACAGCTAGTAAGTGTCAAGTGAACTCAGGTCCTCCTGACTTCAGGGCCAGTGCTCTATCCACTGCGCCACCTAGCTGCCCTTAACCTTTGTTTTCTTTAACAGGCTTAGCCCATTCTCAGCTTTTTAAAACCCATCTGGTATGATTCTCACAGATCTTTCACACTTTCATATTCATCTCTGTTACCTGTCCTTGCTTCCATTATCTGTATATAACTTTTGAAAATTTAAATTGGTTGGACTATTCATTGTGCATTCACACTGATATATTTAGACAGCTCTTGATTTTTGTTTTCTTCAGAATTGTTTCTCTTTTTGACTTCAAAATTTCATTCTTGAGAGTTTCCTAATTTTCTTAGACTGACTTCCTTTGTAGAATTTTTCTTCATGGGGTCCTACCTATTCTTCCTCTGAACCATTTGAAATCCACCCTACCAAAATCTAGTGTGCTTGCCAGACTATGCCCAGATTTCTTCTCAATCATAAACTCTGGGAGGGAGTGGTGCCCACCACCACAAAGTTCCCATCATTTCTACGTCTAGCAACCAACTTTCTCTGTTATTGAGAATAAGATACAAAACAGAATTTCTCCTCGCTGGGACTTCCACTTGTGTAAGGATTAAAATGATCACAAAGGCAGGTCAAAAAGTAATGCTGCTTTTTTAGAGAGTGCAACCCAACCAGCTCATCCATCTTGCATAACTCTTGTTAATATTCTCCCATAAGTTTTTCACAGGGTTCCTTCCAAAGTGCTAGGGGCCTTCTTAATTTTCTCTTGAAATGAGAATACCAATGGACCCCTCAAGCTATTGTCTACCTGGTCTCCCTCCTTCTCCTCATGTGACCAGTGCATCTTCTTTTTTAATACAAGCAGTCATCCAGCACTCACTTACGAAGCACCTAGTATGTTCTGGGCACTGTGGATATTAGTACAAAAGTGAAATAGTCCCTGATCTTAAGGAGTTTTCATTCTATTGGGAGAGACAAGTTGTTTGGATAAATCTATGAAAAAAATTTTTGACAACTTTTTTATCTCACCAGTATACAAAAATATGAACAAAATATACACAATAAAT